GATCATGACCTGAGCCGAAGGCAGCGGCTTAACCCACTGAGCCACCCAGGCGCCCCTCAAAAAAATGTTTTTAAAAAAGATTTTATTTATTTATCTGACAGAGAGAGAGACAGCTATACAGGGAACACAAGCACGGGGAGTGGGAGAGGGAGAAGCAGGCTTCCCGAGGAGCAGGGAGCCCGATGCGGGCCAATCCCAGGACCCTGGGGCCATGACCCAAGCCAAAAGCAGAGGCTCAACAACTGGTTGTTACTAGGTGCCCAGTAAATAAAGTCTTAAAATAAACAAATAAACAAACAAAAAACCTACCTCACTGAAAATTTCAGTATCATTAATTTTTAGTGATTTGGGCATCTTTCCACATTCTTAAACATTTATTTTTACTTTTTGTTGTATGATTTGTGGTTCCATCTCTTCCTCCAAATTAAAAGTTTTTTCTTATTGATTTGTGCAGACTCTTTGTATATTGTGGATATTAACTAATGTTTTGTCATATATGATGCACACATTTTCAATTTATCATTTAATTTGGCTGATTTTCTTTTTGGCCTCTTACAAGTTATGCTTTTTACAACCTGTGAGGATGGGTCTTTCTAAGCACAAGAGATGCCAAACTGGAAAAAGGTTGACAGATTTTAAGTACTTTAAAAGCACTTTAAAAGTAAAAATGCTGGGGCACCTGGGTGGCTCAGTGGGTTAAAGCCTCTGCCTTTGGCTCACTTCAGGATCCCAGCTCTGCATAGAGAGAATCTCTGCTCAGCAGGGAGCCTGCTTCCCTTCCTCTCTCTCTGCCTACTTGTGATCTCTGTATGTCAAATAAATAAATAAAATCTTTAAAAAAAAAAGTAAAAATGCTAAGGAGTCTGGTTTTCATCTTGATGGCAATAGAAAGCCCTTGATGACTTTTAAAACTAGATTTAACAAGATTGGATTAGCACCAAGTATCTCCAATTCCTGTCTCTTCCTCAGGGGGTTATCTGCCTCCCATTTAATTCTTCACATTGGTCATAATTTTTTTTTTTTCTCTTCTCTGTTGATCTCTCGGCAGTGGTTGTCATCAAGCCTTCTGGTATTTTGGCTGCTGGCGACACTCTTTGGAATGGCACATACGCTACACAAGCATACACAAGGTTGGGGTAAAACATACACTTTCCTAGGTGCTAGCCACCAGGAATTTAAAATCGTTTCTGCCCCTGAGAGATGATCATTACTCCTGTATCTCTGGGGAGAAACTGTAATCGAGAGACTGGGCTGTGTGGATGCCCAAGCAGCTAGAATGTATCAGAGCAGGGTTGTAAAATTCTGTTTCTCCTTTTTCATGCCTCTTCTAAGTGCACTTTTGTGGCTGACAAACATCTGGAATACATGCTTTTATTTTGAATTATTTCAACAATTTGAGCAACTATTATGTGCTATACCACCTGCTTTTTTTTTTTTTTTTAATTTTTAAGATTTTATTTATCTTTTAGCAGGGAGCCTGATTGGGGGACTTGATGGGGGCCTCAAGCAAACGACTCTGGGATCATGACCCCAACCAAAGGGAGTTGCTTCAGCAACTGAGCCACCCAGGCGTCCCGCCTTTTCTTTCTTCTCTTTTCTTTTTTTCTTTCTTTTTTTTGAATAATCTTCCTAACAACCCTTTAATATTAGTGCTGTTATCCCCATTTATAGACAAGAAAACTGAGGCTCAGATAGGGAAGCGACCTGCCTAAAGCCACATAGCTGTGATTTTGGAGCGAGGATGTCTGACCCCGGTTTTAAATTGCTCACGAGGCCGCGCTGCCTCTTCCTAACAGAGAGTTTACAAAATATAGTTTCAGAAACTAAATCAGCCCCATGCTCAGAGGGCACTGAGCATGAATGAGGGGACCTTTGAGTACTGACTTTACATTTACTGATCAGTACGACTGGGGCACAGGATGACACCTAAGGACACTCGACCCTGCGAGGTCGGCGCTACCTGCAGTCCCAGCCTTGCAGACTGGGAAGCTGAGCAGCAGAGGAGACCAAGGGCGCTCCAGACCCGGGGCCCAATTCCTCACATGGCTCTGCCTCCCACTGTCAGGCTCGACCTCGCGCCTCGACCTTTCTCGACCTCTTTTCTGGGTCCTGAAGGCTGCGAGCCTCCCGGCGATGGACCGTCTTCCTCTTCGTAGGATGCGCGCCCGCACCACGGAGCTGGGGGCCTACAAGTGAGCCAGGAAAATGTGACCCCGGAAGCAGTCGCGGCGCCCGCGGCGGCGTCTTCGGTTGCCAGAGCACCGCCCCGGAAGTACAGCTCGGCGCGCGGCGGGCCGGTCCGCGGGGCTGCGAGCGGCGTCCTCCTGCCCGCGCCGGAGTGGGGCTGGAGGCGGGGCCGGGGCACGGCGCGTGGCCACCCAGCTGCGCGCCTCTCGGCGCTCCTCGGGGCTCTGCGCCCACAGGTGAGGCCCCGCCGCCGAGGCCGCAACCCGGGACGAGGGTGTGGCCGGCCCTGGTGGACGAGTACGCATGCGCGAGCGGGTCTGAGCGCCCACGTCTCCGCGGCCGCGCCGTGTGGTTTGTTCAGGGGCTGCTTGCCGGACCCGCGTCCTCCCGGAAGCCTGCGCTGACCACTGTGCCCCCGCTTTTCCTCCGAGCTCCCGTGACTTTCCCTGTGCTGCCCGGTCGTTGTAATTGCATTCTGATTCATATTGGCTATCCCAGAATTTCATCGTTTAGGCTTTTCCCATTCGTTTGCAGTCTGTGTTGTTTCTCCTGCATCTTTTGCAGGGGGCGGGGGACCTGTGGTGACAGCGCTGGTTAGGAGATGGATTCGTGTCCCCCGCCCTGCCTGCCCTTCTGTGCTGGATTGGACCTGAGCATTTCTCCTCCCTGTTTGTCAGTCCAAGAGGGTGGGAGGCGGAGGTAGCCGAGCACCCCATAGAGTAGCCGGGGCATTACAGGGAACTCGTTCTAGAAGTAAAAGAATCTCATTGTTGTAAGCAGGTTAGGGTTTGCAGAGAGGCTCTTTGTTCACGGATATATTGTACTGAGCACATTTCAGTGCTGGTTTGTGGCAGTTATAAAAAGATTGGTCTTGCCCTGTGCCTAAGGCATTACAAGCCCTGCTAAGTGGTTGCTGTAGAACATGGCACTGTCTCCCAGGGGCGTGCGGAGCTAGAACGGGGCCATCCAGCTGTTTCGAAGTCGTCGTTTACACTATTCATTATTTTCTTTAAAGATGGTATTTTTTCCTTTTCCAGGAAGACTAGCTGGAAAGGAATCGAAACGCCCTAGAATCCTGACCTCGTTGGGACTTTGTTGGAAGTGATAGTGACCAAAGTGTTTGCGTAGTGGGTTTGGGGACGGAGGAGCCTCCCGTTTTTTATGGCTGGACCCAGAAAAGTGCATTCATTCTATGAATATAATTTCTTCCCTCTGCTTGCTGTTTCTCTTGAAAGGTTGGCCTGGCTTTTGTCAGGGAGTGGTCATAACTCCGGGAAATGAAAGGCCTTTTCGCAAAGTTCTGTCCTCCTGGGGTTGGGGGTACGGATATTCCCCGAGATGTTCCTCACTCCATGGAGATCTGCTAAACTCCAGATCTCCTAATTCAGGCCCCTGGAAAAAGTGTGAACGTCTGGGGGTGTTTGTTTACCATTTTCTCCCGCCTGTGGGCCTGCCAGCCTCTGGAGGGCTGGGCTGTGCCTGAGCACTGCTTGGCTTGTTTGATTGCATGAGGGAAGGGAATTCACCTCTTTATTTTTGCTAATTCACCAAATATTGACTGAGCACCTGCTATTATTAGACGCTGTTCTGGATGCTGGGCGTTCAGTAGGCAATGATTGAGAACAACACTTCTGCTCTCCTGACGTGAGATATGCGTGTCAAAGACAGGTAATCACCAGGGAACCAAATACGTGAACTAGACCAGTTCTTCTCAAACTTGGGCAAGGGTAGGGATCTCACCTGAGAGCTTGTTCAGATACGGATTCCTGGGCCCGCTCCCAAGGAGTCCAAGTATGCGCATCTGTGTAGGGGTTGGGGGAAGCGTAAGAATTGGTCTTTCTTCCTTTCTTTCTTTCTTAAAGATTTTATTTATTTAGTTGAGAGAGACATAGACAGCGAGAGAGAGCAGGGAAGAGAGGGAGAAACAAGCTCCCTGCCGAGCTGGGAGCCCAATGCGGTATTCGATTCCAGGACCCTGGGATCATGACCTGAGCTGAAGGCGGACGCTTCACCGACTGAGCCACCCAGGCACCAGGCGCCCAAGAACTTCTATTTCTTTTTTCTTTATTTCTTTTTAAAGATTGTATTTATTTATTTGACAGAGAGAGAGAGATCACAAGTAGGCAGGGAGGCAGGCAGAGAGGGAGGGGGAAGCGGGCTCCCTGCTGAGCAGAGAGCCCGACGTGGGGCTCGATCCCAGGACCCTGAGATCATGACCTGAGCCAAAGGCAGAGGCTTAACCCACTGAGCCACCCAGGTGCCCAGGAACTTGTATTTCTAACGAGCTCCAGGTGATGCTGGTGCGGTGGGTTTGTGGGCCGTGGACAAAACAGTCGTGTGCAGCCTGACGGCCACAGAGAAGTAAAGTGTGATGAGTGGGGGCATTGAGATTGGCGTTGTGAAAGTCACTCTGAAGAGCTGACCTTCGAGAAGGGGCCAGATGTGGGGGAGAGCAAAGCCTTGAGACAGGCTGCAGCTTGGTGGGTGTGAGGAGCTGAAAGGCAGCCCAGGGCTGCAGAGGGCTGATGGGGAGGGGTGCTGGAGACAAAGCTTGAGAGGTAATGGGGAGCCCAGGTCACATGGGGTCCACTTTGTAGTTGGTTGTAGGTAATGGTTGTTTTCTGGGGCTAATGGAAGCTCCTGGAGGCTTGTGAGCAGGATGACCTTATTTGCTTTGTGCGTATGAGAGGGTCACTCTGCTAGGCAGAGCATGGGTGCCATGGGGTGGTGGTGCTAAGGAAACCAGTGGAGCCTGCTGTGGTTGTCCAGGGTTATGGGGACGCTGGGGAGAGGCATAGACAGATCTGGAATCTTCTGGAGTAGAGCTGGCACCATTTGCTGCTGTCGGGATTAAGAGTCACCTCCCGGGACGCCTGGGTGGCTCAGTTGGTTAAGCAGCTGCCTTCGGCTCGGGTCATGATCCCAGCGTCCTGGGATCGAGTCCCACATCGGGCTCCTTGCTCATCAGGGAGCCTGCTTCTCCCTCTGCCTCTGCCTGGCATTCTGTCTGCCTGTGCTTGCTCTCTCTCCCTCTCTCTCTCTGACAAATAAATAAATAAAATCTTTAAGAAAAAAAAAAAAAAAAAAAAAAAGAGTCACCTCCCCCTCAGGACCACAGCTGAGCTTTGCTGGATTGTGAAAGCACCTTGCTGCCGGGGCTTCCAGCTTGTGAAATGACTCTCTTGCCTCCCTGGATTGGGACTGTCCACGAGCACCTCGTTCAGGTGCTCGCGTCTCCAGTAGTGGTCCCTGCACAGGGTGGCTGTCAGAGCCGAGCGGGTGGGTGAGAAGCTGGGCTGTCGAAGCTCAGACACCCAGGGCCGTCCCCGTGGAAACCTGTCCTCAGGCTTTTGAAGGTCCTGCCCACTGGCCCCGGCAGAGGGACCCACATCACTTTCTGAACATAGCTAACTGCCTGCCTCGAGAATGCCTTTCCCCGGCTGGCGAACCTCAGGTGGGGACAGCCCACTGGGATTCGAGCACAGCCAGCACAAAGATCACCACACACCTAACTCTGTTTCTCTGGGTTAGGTTTTAGGATGCTCAGTTTGGGTTTTTAAATTTTTTTTTTCTATTTTTTATTTAAATTCTAGTTAACATACGGTGCGATATCAGGTTCAGGAGTAGAATTCCGTGGTTCGTCAGTTACATACAGCACCCGGTGCTGATCACAACAGGTACCCTCCTTCATCCTCATCACTCATCCGGCCCATCCCCCACCCACCTCCGCAGCCCTCTGTGTTCTCCGCAGTTAAGAGTCGCTTATGGTTTGTTTCCCTCTGTCTTTCTACTCACTCCCGTATGTTCACCTGCTTTGTTTCTTAAATTCCACATACGGGTGAAATCATGTAGTTTGTCCTTCTTTGACTTTTGCTTAGCATAATACCCTCTAGTTCCATCCACGTTGTTGCAAATGGCAAGATTTCATTCTTTTTGATGGCAGAGTAATCATTCTGTTGCATATATATACCACATTGTCTTTATCCCTTCCTGTGGGGCTTAGTGTTGAAAGTAGCTGACCAGTGGCTTCACGTTCAGTTCATGTGAACCCCACTACAGTCGTTACCTACCAAGTTCATTACACGGTCCTGCTAACCTCACTTATTTTTCTTTCCTGTTTTAGGAGGAAGTAACAGGAGAACTGTCTGACATCTGGTATTTCTTTATTGATTTTTCTAAGGGAAGGGGCTTCGTATTTCTTAAGGTTGGGAAGGAGTCAGCCCTGGCTTCTGTGGCCAGCGGGTTCCTTTGTCTGTTCTGCACACCATTTCTGAGCCCCCTGACTGTGGCTGGCCCTGGCTGGGTGTTGGGGGACAGAGACCAGTCCACCCACCCCCTGCCCTGTGGGGTAAAGGGACAGTTGACAGAGTGGGGAGGGGAGGCAGCGTGGCATCCACAGGCTGCAGTCTGTGCTCTGCCTGCTACTCTTTTTTTTTTTTTTTTAAGATTTTATTTATTTATTTGACAGACAGATCACAAGTAGGCAGAGAGGCAGGTGGGGGTGTGGGGGAAACAGTCTCCCCACCGAGCAAAGAGCCTGACGTGGGGCTCAATCCCAGGATCCCGGGACCAGGACCCGAGCTGAAGGCAGAGGCTTTAACCCACTGAGCCACCCAGGCGCCCCTGCCTGCTACTCTTTGAGCCCTACTTTCTCCGTGTGTAAACGGGGAGAATGAACACCTGCCTCCCAGCAGCGTGTGAGCCTGAGGGACAGAGGAAGTAGAGAAACACGCGTACAGAGTGCCCGGCCCTGTGCCTGGTGGATCCTGGCGCTTCATAGAAGTCATGGCTGTTGTTTTGGGTGATAAAGTAAATATCGAGTTACTTCCTCCGTGAGGGCAGGGCTGACCTCCAGCACCTGGCCAGGAGCCTGGCCCACCCACTGTAAGTAGGGGCTGAAGTGGAGGAGCGTGCAGGGCTGAATCGGGGAGAGCGTCAGAAACCTTCAGGGAAAGCGGGTGCGCTCGTTTCAAATTCGGTGAACTCTGGTGTTCCACAAGCACACCCGCCCGACCTCCCAGTAATCTCAGCCATCCTGCCAAAGCCCTGGGGCTCTCATTCCCATTTTCTTCATGGGGGAAATGGAGGCCCCAAGAAAACTCGCGAGTCCCCATGAATGTGTGAGCGCGGGAAATGAACCAAGTGCCCGAGCCTCAGGTGCGGGGGAACTGCTGTCCCTCCTTTGGTTCTGCTGAGGCTGCCTTGTCATTGGTTCCCAGTGGTGGTTATCATGCTGGTTTGGTGCATTTCTGGAAAGAGGTCCCACGTCTCTTTTTTTTTTTTTTTTTTTTTAAAGTTTTTTTTTTTTTATTTGACAGAGAGAGATCACAAGTAGACAGAGAGGCAGGCAGAGAGAGGGAGGGAAGCAGGCCCCCCGCCGAGCAGAGAGCCCGACGCGGGACTTGATCCCAGGACCCCGAGATCAAGACCCGAGCTGAAGGCAGCAGCCTAAACCACCGAGCCACCCAGGCGCCCCGGTCCCACGTCTCTTTAAAGGAGAGGTGGCCTTAGTTCATTTCTTTCTTTTTCTTCTTTTTTTTAAACTATAGATAAATGTTTTGTCCTTTTTTATTTTTTTAAGATTTATTTATTTGACAGTGTGAAAGAGATCACAAGTAGGCAGAGAGCCAGACAGAGAGAGGGGGAAGCAGGCTCCCTGCTGAGCAGAGAGCCCGATTTGGGGCTTGATCCCAGGTCCCTGAGATCATGACCTGAGCCGAAAGCAGAGGCTTAACCCACTGAGCCACCCAGGCGCCCCAACTGTTTTGTCCTTTTGCACATCACTTTACTGTGCTGTCTCCCACATATATACTTAAAACTCTTTATAGGTGTAAATTTCCTTTTTCTTCAAGTGCCTGGGGTGGCTATATCTCGAGTTCGTTTCCTGGGCTGTACTTTGAAAGTGCCATGAAGTGAGTGGCTCAGTGAGGCCAGATGTCTGAAATCAAGGTGCTGGCAGAGCCGTGCTCTTCCCGAAGAATCTGGGCAGGATCCTGGTCTCTTCCAGTCTGTGGTGGACCCAGACTTTTCTTGGGTTGTGGCTGCACAGTTCTCATCTCTGCCTTCATGTTCACGTGACCATCTTCCGAACTGTGTGTCTATGTGTCCCTGCGTCCAGACTTCCTTCTTTTTTTTTTAAGTAATCTCTATGCCAAATGTGGGACTTGAACTCATAACCCTGAGATCAAGAGTCACATGCTCTACTGACTGAGCCAGCCAGGCACTCCTCAACATATCTTTTTTGGGGATACAGTTCCAACCCATAATATTTACAGGAAAGTAACTCTTGAAAACAGAGTCAGATTCAAAGGACTGACCCTTGGGGATGTGTCTGTTCCCTCACTTTCGTGAGGAGTAGGCACTGTTTGCCCCCCCTCCCCGTGTGCCGGACGGCTGGGTGCTGGAGACAGTGGGGCCTGCCACATGCGCTGTGAACGTTATTGCAAATGCTCACACCTAAGTCTAGAAAGAATCGGGGGGATGAGAAGGAAGCAGGGGACTAAGAGAGTCCTCTCCTCACCTTACTTTCCTCTAGAAGGAAGGTAAACAAAGACCAGAAAGGCAAGGTAGGAAGTTCTGTGTGCCAACAAAGATGGCAGGAGACATATAGGGAAGGCTGGGTGGTTCGGTGGAGGGAAAAGGTGACGAGAATGGCTCCCTGGGGGAGGTGGCCTTTGACCTGCAGCTTTGGGATCAGTGGAGCTGGGTGAGAAGCCCTGGGTGGGAGCAGCAGGGAGGCAGGTGCTGGGCGCGTGTGAAGTGGAGTGGCAGGGTGGCCCAGAAAGTCCCGCCGGAGTCAAGAAGTAAGAGAATCCAGAAAAATGTATCACAATAAGAAAAGACCCTCAAGACAGCTCGTGGCGTGCTCTTGTTCAGCAGAAGACACGGTTTTGCCGTGTTCACAGACCGTCTCTCGGTCCTGGGCCATGTACATTTTGCCTGTGTGTTCATTTTGTTGTAGGTACGAACCCCAAGCAGCAGGCCCTAAAGCTGAAGCGAACTTGGCCGTGCCTGTTGGCTCCAGGAGTCCCTATGGTGGGTCCGGCCTGAGATGCTGGTTTTCCTTAGTGCCCTGCGGAAGTGGTGTGTGGGGTGGCGAGAAAGCCTGACCTCCGAGGCTCTGTGTCCTGCTCCATAAAGTGTGGATGAGAATATGTGCCCTGTCTGCTTTATGGGGTTTGGGGATCACACCTGGGAAGCGTTTTCTGACTGTTCCAACATGGCCCCATCAATGGCCCTGCTGGGTCACCCCCAGGCGGGTTGCGGGTCAGCACCTGTGCCAGGTGGCAGCGCACTGAGATATGAGGGGCGGTGTTGGGGCTGTCGTTGCCTGCCTGGGGGACGGTTCTCCCCACAATCCCAAGCCTGCGGTTGGACTCTAGGGGGCAGAGTCGGAGCAGGATTGGGCTGCTGGGCTGTGAGGGCTGAAGTTGGGGAGAGCGTCAACTCGCCAGGGCTTTGGACACAGGCTGGGGTTGGCCCAGGGAGGGGTGTGGGGTCACAGCGCGCGGGGATTCCGTTCCCGTGCCGCCTCTGCCAGCGTTTCTGTGCGGCGGCTGCTGACTGTCCACAGTAACAGCCTCCTATCGTCACAGGGCGACTTCTCGTTTTGCAGAGGGCAGTTCCGTGCATTTCTTACCTTGACCCCGGGGGGCACGGGCATCCTGATGAAGCCCATGTTCAGAGCGGGGGGGACAGCAGACTGTGTGAAGAGGCGGCACATCAGAATTGGGTCACCGTGGGCTCAAGTCAGGGCTCCATGGCTCCCTTCAGTCTGATTCTTATAGGGGCTCTTAACCTTTGAGCCTCAGCGTCCAAATCCGTAAAGTGGTGACGATGGCAACAGTACCACCAGATACCGCTTGAGTGTTTTCTACATGCTGCGCACTGTTCCACCGTTCACTCATTTCATCCTCACTATAGCCCTGTGAGATGGGTACATGCTGTTCATAGAGAGAAGGAAACAAGAAGTTCAGAGAGGTTAAGTAACTTGTCCAGAGTCACACAGCTTGTGAGATTCAGAACCGGCCCTGAACTCAAGTCCCAGCTCTGTGACACCGCCACTACTGGGCAGGGTGAGGAGGCAGTGGGCTTGTTTTGTGTGAAAGCTCCACGGAATTGTCTTCCCTCTCCCTTTCCCGAGGCAAGGCAGACCCAGGTCTCATCTTTTACCTTTCTCCAAGTCACACAGTGGTGCTGACAGACCTGGGGCCAGAGTCAGTCAGTCTGATTGGGTATCTGTCACCTGCCAGGTGCAGGGCTAGACCCTGGGCCCAAAGCAGCGAAGAAGAAAGCCAGCTGCCAGTCCTCTTGCAGGGCCAGGAGTGCAGGAGCACCGAGTGGCCATGAACCAGGTCTGGGGTCAGGGAGGCTTTGTGGAGGGAGTGACATCCACTTACGCTGGCCGATGAGTGGGCAGCAGCTTTGCCAGGCAAGGGGTGGGGGAGTGCCACAGGCACAGATAAGCAGCACATGCCAGGGCCCTGAGGCAGAGTGTGGGCAGAAAAGTCCAGTGTGGCGAGAACATAGCACGTAAAGAAGAAACAGGTGAGGGCTGAGGGTCTGCAGATCTTAAAAGCACTGGGAAGCCACGGAGGCTAGTAAAAGGCAGTGATGTGGTCAGCTAAAGGTCACCTGCGCTTACAGAGAGTGAGATGGAGCAGGGCAGGGGAGGAAGCAGGGAGGTAGCAGCGCTGGACAGGGTGGGAGGTGCTCCTGTTGGGACAGGCTCCCACCCAGCCTCCGGAAGCCAGCTCCAGGGCCCTCTACTGAGCGCGGTCTCCCCCAGCCACCCTGCGAGGGCCACCCCCCGCCTCAGGTCTCACAGCCCAGGTGCTACCTCTGCCTGGTGGCTCCTGTCCCCATGGCGACACCCATCGGGTGGTGACTCTCACTGCTCCCTCCCCCCCCCCACAGGCCAGGTTTTCTTAGTCTTGGCACCGTTGACATTTTGGCTTGGGTGACTTGCTATGGGGGAGGGGGCGTCCCATACGCCATAGGGTGTCAGGCAGTATCGAGGCATCCGTGTCCCCAGCTGTGACAACAAAAGACATGGCCAGATGTCTCTGCCAGATGGCCGAGAACCACAGCCCGAGTCGGGGGAGCTTGGGGTGTGTGAGGGATAGTGTCCTGCTGTTGACATTTCCAACCTCTAACACGTTGATCTCTTCCAGGATTATGGCAGGAAAAGTGAAATGGGTCACTGATATCGAGAAGTCCGTGCTGATAAATAACTTTGAAAAGAGAGGATGGATCCAAGTGACAGAAAACGAAGATTGGAACTTTTACTGGTAAGTAGAGAAAGCAGGATCCCGTTGTTTTTCCAAGGCCGCTTGTCGCCCGGTGAATGCTGGCGCAGGCTGTGCGCCCAAGGGACACCTCCCATCACCCATCTTCCGCCCCGAGGCCCCCTAGGAGCATACGACAGGAACGCCCGTGGCTCGTCCACGTCCCGGCGTGTTCCCGCACTCCCGCGTGGCAGGCTGGCGTCGGACGTCCCGGGACGCTTGCGCACAAGCCAGCGTGGCTAAGGCGGCCGGGGTTTGGTGAGAAGCCGGAGTCCCCTCCGGTCGGCGTTCTCAGTCAGTGCCTTTGTCCAGCGCTGGGGGCTCTCTGCCTCCCTTTGCTTCCTCTCGCCACAAACAGCGCCGGTGGGACTGGTTACCACCAGCTGAGAAGCGAGTGGCACGAGGAACAGGGAAGCAGGGTTCGGCACGGGCTCCCTGGTGGTGTTCACCCAGCGGCAAACACGGGTTTTCCTAGACGCCTGCTCCCGCCTGCCTCCCCGCCTTCACCGGGTGAGGTCCTGCGTCCTCCCTTGTCCACAGCCGGGCTGCTCCCTGCCTCGGGGCGGCCTCCACCCTCGGGCAGGGTTGTGTGCCCAAACTGCCACCTGCGGTTGCCCCTGCCACCCCCAGCCCTCTTTAGCTCCTGCCCCCGTGAATCTTTGAGGAAGGGCGGGCTGGTGGGACTCTGGAGGCGTTTTCTTTCTTTCTTTTTTAAGATTTTATTTATTTGTCAGAGAGAGAGCACAAGCAGGGGGGGCGGCAGGCAGAGGGAGAAACGGGCTCTCCTCTGAGCAAGGAGCCGATGTGGGACTTGATCCCAAGACTCTGGGATCATGACCTGAGCCAAAGGCAGACGCTTAACGGACTGAGACACGCAGGCGCCCCTGGAGGCCTTTTTGCCCTGTGCATCCGCCCTCCCTGAGCCCAGCTCCCCTCTGCTGCCTCGAGAGGTGTTCCTCGGCCTCTTTCCAGCCGCTTCCTTCTCCCTCACGCGCTGGTGCGGCAGCCGGCATGTTTTCCCCTGTTGACCTGCTAAGACGTTCTTGCTTCCACACGCGTGTAAAGGCTGTGCTTTCTGCCCCCTCAGCCGAGCCTTGAGCGGGGCGACGCATCTGGCATTTAGACATCTGGACCCTGGAGACAGGTCATGCCTGGCTTCCCACCCTGGCTCTCCCACGGCTGTCTCTGTGGCCATTAGCAAAGGACTCAACCTCTCTTTGCAAATCCGGTTGTTTGAAATTTGAATGACTCAGTGAAGCACGGAGCATGGGCTGTGACGGGCGCCTCATAAGCGTGTGCTGTCGCTGTCCTTCACGCACCAGCGCACCTGAGCTGCCTGCCCTGGAAGCCGCCGGTGCCTCTCCAGCCCCCCAACCTGCTTTCCCTGGTGTCAGGAAGCCAGTGTGGTTTCCCCGCCTGTGCCCTCTTTACATGTGACCGCGAGCCTCACGACGGTGAGGACCTTGTCCGGCTTACCCAGGCTCCCCAGAGCCTGGCGCTGGCCGGGTGCAGAGTGCACTGGCGTCCAGCTTCCATCTCCCGCAGCAAGTAGAGAGATGACCCTTGCTTTTTCTTTCTTTCTTTTTTTTTTTTTTTAAGATTTTATTTATTTATTTGATGGAGATCACAAGTAGGCAGAGAGGCAGGCAGAGAGAGGGGGGGAAGCAGGCTCCCCACTGAGCAGAGAGCCCGATGCGGGGCTCGATCCAGGACCTTGAGATCATGACCTGAGCTGAAGGCAGAGGCTTACTGACCAGGCTACCCGGGCACCCTGGGATGACTCTTTGCCCCTGTAGCAGTTTAAGGTACCTGTACTTTAAACCAAAACCCGATTTCCCTTGGCGAGCACGGAATGCCAGCAGAGAGAGCATTTGTAGAGAAATGCAGCGGCCGTGCGTGCTTTGGCGTCACACTTATATTCTTCTCTGAGGCAGAAGGAAGTAACAGGCAGAGCCCTGCTTCCAGAGGAGCTCTGAAAGAAAGGCTGAGTAAGAGCATTTTGTAGGGCGCCTGGGTGGCTCAGTTTTAAGCGTCTGCCTTTGGCTCAGGTCATGATCTTAGGGTCCTGGGATCGAGCCCCTGGTTGGGCTCCTTGCTCAGTGGAGAGTCTGCTTCTTGCTCTGCCCCTGCCCCCGACTTGCGCTCGCTCACACACTCTCTCTCTCCCTCAAATAAATAAAATCTTGAAATGTCATTAAAAAAAAGTGTTTTGAACTTACTGCTTTAGTGTCCCACGGCTCCGTGCCATGGGCTCAGCCAGCCCTCAGTCCTTTCTGCTTCTCTCAGTGATTAATCAACGCTTGGGAGGGTGCAGAACGTCTCCCTTCCCTTCTTCACGCCACATGAGAAGCATTTTGGAGCTAGTCTTAGCGAGAGAGAAAGAAAAGAGTAGAACTGTGTCACTTTGGATATTTGAACTCCTCAGAGCTCCTGTTTTAAGCACTAAGCGTCCCATTAAGTCTTAACAATGGGTTAGGGTAAAACATCGACATCAGCGAAATGTTAAATGGTTATAGGGAAAGGTACCCATGTTAAGCAGGTGGATTATGGCGCAGCCATTAAAGCAAGTAACAGGGGGGGCGCCTGGGTGGCTCAGTGGGTTAAGCCGCTGCCTTTGGCTCAGGTCATGATCCCAGGTCCTGGGTTCAAGCCCCACATCGGGCTTTCTGCTCAGCAGGGAGCCTGCTTCCTCCTCTCTCTCTGCCTGCCTCTCTGCCTACTTGTGATTTCTCTCTGTCAAATAAATAAATAAAATCTTTAAAAAAAAAAATAAAAAAAAAATAAAGCAAGTAACAGGGGCGCCTGGGTGGCTCAGTGGGTTAAAGCCTCTGCCTTCAGCTCAGGTCGTGGTCTCAGGGTCCTGGGATCGAGCCTGCATTGGGCTGTCTGCTCGGCGGGGGGCCTGCTTCCCCACGCCCACCCCCGCCTGCCTCTCTGCCTACTTGTGATCTCTCTCTCTGTCAAATAAATAAATAAAATCTTTATTACAAAAAAAAAAAAAAGAAACGTTACCAAAAAATAAAACAACTGACAGTTCTAAAGCAGTTAGGAAAATTGTGTAACAACGAATATGAGGACAGTGAGATCACAGCTTGTGCACAGGCAGGAAGCAGGAGGAGCACGGAAGCGCGGCTATCCCAGAGCAAGTGCATGAGCTGTCTGAGGGCCAAACTGCTGGGTGTAACGAGACAGCACAAAACGGGCTCGGAACAACCATTTGATAGCATTTATAGGTTTGGCTCAGTGGTACTTTTAGAGCTGATCCTGCCTGGGCTCCCCCGTGCATCTGCGGTCCCCTGGGGGAGGTCAGCTGGGGCTCGTCTGTTCTTGGCTGCCCTGGGCGAGGAGCACAGCGGCTTCTCTCCACACAGCTCTCCCGTCCCTGCGGCCGGCGAGTGGGGGCTTGCTCTCCTGAGGTGGCGAGGGGCCAGGAGGGAGGCTAGAAGCTCTGCAGGCCTTTCAGGGCTGGTCTCCAAGTGGCACACCACCGCCTCTGCCACATGTTCGGCCAGAGCAAAGCCAGAGTGAGACGTGTCTGGGCCCAGGCCTTAAGAAACTAGCAGCTTCCACTTCCTTTATGGGAACTCTCGGCGGGAGCCCCGAGCTGCCACGGGACAAGCCTGACTTCTGGGACCATCTTGATGGAGAAGCCATGTATAAGGCTTGTGTGGGGCGGTTGTAGCCATGCCCGCCAAGGTGCCAGGCAGGAACGAAGCCTTCTTGGATATTCCAGGTCGGATCATACACTGAACACCCCGAGTGTCCTCCAAGTGGCCCCAGTCAGGGCTATAGGGAGCAGAAGCACCCTCTACTGAGCCCCGCCCCGAGTCTTTTTTTTTTTTTTTTAAGATTTTATTTATTTATTTGACAGAGAGACAGTGAGAGACGGAATATAAGCAGGGGGAGGTGGGAGAGGGAGAAGCAGGCTTCCTGCTGAGCACGGAACCCGATGTGGGACTCGATCCCAGGACCCTGGGATCATGATGTGAGCCGAAGGCAGACGGTTAACAACTGAGCCACCCAGGTGCCCCCCCACCCCCCCGGCCCACATCTTGGTCCCCAAAACCTCGAGATGGGATTTAGTGGATATTGTCTTAAGTTGCTAACACAGGGCCATTTGCTTTTCAGTATTGGATACCCAGGATATATCTTATCCATCACCTGACCTGAGGATGGTAGGGAAACAGCTCAGTATTTTGCAAACTGGTAAAGGGAAAGAAACAAACATTTTGTTCGTCTTTTCTGTATGAACTATGTTTTGAGTATCCAAACTGTTGATGAAGGGGAACTTCTTGTAGAAATATTCCTGCTAACACACGAAGGAGAAATGACAGTGTAGAAACACACCCATTTTGCCTCCCTTAATGACGTAAGGGTCTGGGCTTGCCCTGTATGGGAGCCACTAACCACAGGACTGATGAGCACTTAAACGTGGCCGGTCCAAATGCAGATGTGCCCCCAGATTGACCCGCAGCTCCCCAGTCTGCAGTCCGACTCCTGATTTACAGGCAGCATGTGGGAGGGGACCAGGAGGGAGGGAGGGGACACCCGCGCAGCCATGCTGAGTAAGGAACGTGGGAGGACCCCTGGAGCTCCCCTGGAGGACGGGTGACTCAGGGTCTTCAACAAATCAATAGCATAGGAAGAAAGGAGGGAGAAGACAGAGGGCAAGAGCCACGGGAGAGAGAAGAGCCTGGCTCTTTGCACAAGCTGTAAGTAAGATTCCTCAGACAGCTAAGGAAGGGTGAGCACCAATGAATATTTGATGATACCAGAAATGACTGTTTTTAGTTAAGATAACAGTATCAAGTAGGATATAGTATAATATAAAAAAGAGCCCTTAGCGATTAGAGATGCCGACTGGAATATTTTGGGTGGGATGCTGTGTCTGGAAATCGCTCCCAAGTAAGTCGGCGCTGTGGGGCGTGGGTGGGGTAGGACCACAGCAAGGCTGGCCTCCGGCCGCAGCCGCGACGCCAGTAATAGGGCTCTCTGCACTTTTCTCTGCTTTTGCATGTGGTCGAGCTCTTCCCTCCTAAAATGTTTTATTTATTTATTTTTTTTTTTTTAAAGATTTTTATTTATTTATTTGACAGAGAGAGATCACAAGCAGGCAGAGAGGCAGGTAAAGAGAGAGGAGGAAGCAGCCTCCCTGCTGAGCAGAGAGCCCGATGCGGGGCTCGATCCCAGGACCCTGAGATCATGACCTGAGCCGAAGGCAGCGGCTTAACCCACTGAGCCACCCAGGCGCCCCCCTCCTAAAACGTTTTAAAACTCCCATTATTCCCATGATCGTAGAATCAAGAGAAATGCTTTGGGTGCTGGAAGCCCTCTGTAGTTGGTGCCTGGGCCCGGTGGGGTGGATTGGGGCCAGGAGCGACAAGCCACTGACAGACAGCCCGCCTCGCCCCTGGCCGTGGTTCCAGAGTGAGGGCCGGTCCTGCCCTTCCCGCTCCCTCCCTGTGTCTCTGTGGGGCAAGGAGGGCGGAGAGAGTGGCAGGGAGACTGGCTGTCTTAGAAGATTAGAAGGAATCCCTTTGTCTTTCACCCGTCCTCATTTCATCCAAGTTCTGGCCCATCAGAGGTCTCTGTATGAACACGAAGTACTGACCCAGGGCCCTCAAATCACCCTGTGATTCTGATTTAAAACGGTCCCTGTCCTTCTTGACATTGGGTGAAAATACTGGGTAAATGATTTTGCTGATTTCAGAGTCTGGGGGAGGTCCTTTCATCGGGTTGGCATCCACAGTCAGGGGACCTGGAACCCACGAGCATTTAGGACCATCTCCTCTGCGCTGCAGAGTGAAACCGTCCACCACGAGCCTGAGAACAGCCCCCCTGCCCCACAACAGCTCCGGGCCCAGCCGGTCACTGGACCCCACCCTGTGCGGCACTGGGCCGGGCGTCTCCTGGCCCGCATGCCGGGGGTGGGGGGAACGTCACCAGCTTTGACGAGCCCTGCCCCCACGTGGACCCGCTCTGAGCTTGTGCCCCGCACGCCCCTTCTGTGCTTCCCTTATAGGATGAGTGTACAAACCATCCGGAACGTTTTTAGTGTTGAAACTGGCTATCGGCTCTCAGACGATCAAATAGTGAACCATTTTCCGAACCACTACGAGCTGACCCGGAAGGACCTGATGGTGAAGAATATTAAAAGATACAGGAAGGAGCTGGAGAAGGAAGGGAGCCCTCTAGCAGAAAAAGACGAAAATGGGAAATACCTCTATCTGGGTTTGTGCCTTTCTCGCTGGCCCCAGGTTTGAAACAAATCCCTGAGTTCCCTAGTGACACCGGGTACCAAGACGGGGACATGCCCGTGCTGGCTGGGCTGGGCACCTCTTTCATTCCACGTCTCCAAAATGGCAGGGCGGGGGCTCATGTTGGGATCTGTGTTTCTGGGAGCATCTTGGGAACGCGGTGCCCGTGCAGGAGCGCGAGACCATGGCACGCAGGTGGCGGGAAGCCTGTTCCAAGCGGCAAGCTGCATTTTGTAATGAGGCTCATCGCTGCATCTGGTGGTTCCCAGGGAGAGATGCGTCCCTGTTCCGGTCCGGTGGTAAAAGCTGGACTGTGGGATAGTTTCAGAATCCCTCTACTACCCAGGAAAATTAGATGACCCTCTGACATCTCACTGGGCCTCAGTTTCCTCATTTGGTAAATGGGAATGATAACAGGACCTAGCCCACAGGGGGCTGTGGGGATTAAAGGTTTGTGAAGGGCTTAGCACAGAGGTGATAAGGTTATCCTGCAGGAATTGAATGGCAGGGGGCTTGTCCTTATGATCCTGGCTGGGGGGGGCGGAGTGGCGGGGGCGTGAAGCAGCCGCAGAAAAGGCAGGGGCCATGTGTCCCTGCCCGTGGGCACGTTGGGCTGGCTCACCCACTGCTGTCCCCTCTGCTTCCCCTTTCAGACTTTGTTCCGGTCACCTACATGCTGCCCGCCGACTACAACCTGTTCGTGGAAGAGTTCAGGAAGAGCCCCTCCAGCACCTGGATCATGAAACCTTGCGGCAAAGCCCAGGGGAAGGGCATCTTTCTGATCAACAAGCTCTCGCAGATCAAAAAGTGGTCCCGGGACAGCAAGACGTCTTCGTGAGTGCAGGGCCCACCCATCCCGGGGGCTTCCGAGTTGGGAGTTCCGGGCCACCTGGTCAGTCTTGCCCGGCAGCTGGGGACCCTTGCTTGCTTCTGTAGGTGTATGGCGTTCGCCACATGGCAGGCACCACAGCAGGGTTCCGTGGCTGCCGTCGTGTGATTGATTGTAGGATCCCACCTGAGGCAAGTTGCAAAGGGAAGTAGTGTGTGAGCCAGCATACGGTCCCAGGAGCCGGGACCCTTGTGGGCTGTTCTTTGTTCTGGAAGTTTCTGTGAGACCCACTCAGTCCTGGACTTCTGAGGTAGTAAAGTATCCGCTTAAGATCTGGGCCCAGCGTACGTGGCTTCAAATCCCTGTCTACACTTACTGAGTACGTTTTGTCTCGGTAGACGCTTAAATGCCTCATCCGGGTAGACGGCGGACACCAACAGCACCACCCCCGTGGGGACAAGATGGGGATGGAACAGGTGAACCCGTGCGAGGCACATGGGAGGGTGTGCCGTCAGTGGGGGTGGCGCTAGGCTGTGTCAGGTCAGCTCTCTGCCCGGGGTTTGAGGGCTCCTTGGAACTGAGGGTACCAGTTTTTTGCCTGGGCCTCCCCTAGTCTCTGAGGGTCCTGACCTGCTCGTCAGTGCTGGACAGTGATCCTCTCCTGGGGGCTGGTGGCTCACTGTCAGGGTTCTCAGGAGTGACAGGGTCACCTTCTCCTCGTGCAGAGAATTTAAGTCCTAGTGCACACTGCTGACCCCCTCGTGGGTCGGGTCCAGGGAGCACGTCCCTGGTGGGCTCCAGGGGCTGCTGGCATTGTCCTCTGGGGGCAGGGCACAGGCTCGGGGGCTCTTCCATGGATCCACCTGACCCCGTTTTCTCCCCGACATACCAGCCTCTCACTTAATGAGTGGCACAGGCTTGTTACCAACCTTTGGTCTTTGCATCTAACTTTGACCTTCTCTGACACGTTCAGGTTCGTGACTCAGTCTACCAAGGAGGCCTACGTGATCTCCCTCTACATCAACAACCCGCTGCTCATTGGCGGGAGGAAGTTTGACCTCCGCTTGTATGTCCTGGTGTCCACGTACCGCCCGCTGCGCTGCTACATGTAAGGGCCACCAGCGTTTTGCCTGGAGCTTTGACCCTCCAGGGTAGGCCGCTCCTCAGAGACAGAAGGCAGCTCGGCGTTGGCCCAGCCCTGGCTTGGGGAGTGACTGCTAACGGTCCCAGGCTTTCTCTGTGGGGCGACGAACATGGGAAATCGAGTGGTGATTGTCGCGCACCTCTGAGGGTACCAAGAACCACTGAGCTGTGTGCTCTAGCTAGGTGAAGGAGTTCTGTGCCATGTGAATTATATCTTAGTAGGACGGTTATTAAAAAGAACAATAGAAAATAAAAAAGGAGCTCTTCTTGGTTAAAAAAGCTTAAAACCCCCCCAAAATAATAGCAATAAAAAAATTAAAAGGCTTAAAACCAAAAACGGGCTCTTCGAAGGGAACAAAGTATTCTATATACATATATTTTTAAGGTTTTATTTATTTGAGAGAGAGAAAAGTGCAGGCGCAGGGGAGGGTCAGAGGGAGAGGGAGAAGCAGACTCCCCGCTGAGCAGGGAGCCCGACCCCAGGATCCCGAGAGCATGACCCGGGCCGAAGGCAGATGCTTCACCGACTGAGCCACCCAGGCGCCCCAAAGCCTTGTATTTTCCTGATGCTTCTCCTCAGAGTGTTGACGTAGTCTCCCTTCCCACGTAGGTATAAGCTCGGATTCTGCCGCTTCTGCACCGTGAAGTACACGCCGAGCACCAGCGAGCTAGACAACATGTTCGTTCATCTCACCAACGTCGCCATTCAGAAACACGGGGTAAGCGCGTCCCTCTCTCGAGCTGGAGGAAATGGGCCCATTGTGTGGGTTTCTTTCTATTTGCCAGAGAGGCAGGTGGCCGCAGGAGTGGAATTCCAGACGCTCTGGCACAGCCTCGGGTTTGGGGCTCACGGAGAAAGAAAGGCCCGAGGTCAAGCCCTGCCTTTTTGGTCCCGTGACCTGGGGACAAGCTGAGTCTCCGAGCCTAGCGTGGGTTTCTCATTTATAAAAGGCGGTGACATCCCTCCCTCGTGGAGTGGTGGGAGGGGGCACATGACTCGCTGAGTGCCTGTCTCGGTTGGTCCCGTGCTGAGCGCCCGGGCTACACCGATGGGCAGAAACTCGCTTAGTCCCTCCTGAAGGAGCCTGGGCCTGTCAGGGGGAGATGGGTGTCGAGGACTGCGTAATCATGAACGGAGATGTGCGCTCTGAGACCAGAGAATGCACGTCTAGAAGAGCTTGGGATGAAGGGGTCCCTCGTCCAGGGGGCCGGAGAAGCCCTCCGTGCAGCAGTGGAGTGGTGTCCGAGCAGAGACCGCCGTGTGAGCGGGGCTGACCCAGGTCGGGAAAGGGTGTTCGGGCGGAGGGGACGGCGTGGGCCGGGCCCCGTGGCAGGAAGGAGCACTGCAGGGGCTGTGAGCAGGTCAGGGTGGCCGGAACCCCCAGAGCATGGGTGGCGGAGTGAGGGGTACCTGGTGAGGTCAGCGAGGGCCGGGACGCAGGACGCAGGTTCTGTGTGGACTTTGGGCCTTTCCTCGGGTCCTGACAAAAATGGTCGGAAGGTCTCATTTCCTTATGAGAGATTCTTCTGTTTGGATCTTGCTTGATTGGAAGCCTTGTACCTAGGTCCTTTTTTAATGTTATTTGAGTGGAAAGAGGGTAAGTGTTGATAGAAAACAAGCTTTTTTGGAGAACCTACTGAAAGGTTTGGTCAGACCAGTCTGGGCTCCATCCCCTGTCCATCCCTTACCCTCCGTGTGACTGGGCAAGTCACCCCGGCCTCCCTGGGGCACCTTATCTGCCAGCAGGACCCCTGGTATTACGTTGCTGGTCACCATTTACTGAGGGCCTCGCCGGTCTTGTGGGTAAAGCGGACCCTGATTCACTGCCGAGCAGGGCCCCCTGAGAGCAGACTGGTGAGCACCACTGTCACACGTTCAAGGTTAGAGGAGCAAGGATGGCTTGGCCAGAACCTTATTTGTAAAAATTAGGAAGATGAGTCTTGTGGAACGTGGCACAGAACTGGTCAGCCATTTGGAGAAAGCTGAGCAGTGACATCAGGCCCTTCGTCGCCAAGTAGCACATTAGCGAGGTCTGGGTGTGGGCTGGGACATGACAGCGCCTACCTAAGTCCACTGGGTGTTCCTGAGCACATTGGCTGCCTAAGCTGCTGGGGCGGGGGAGTGTGGGCGCTGGGGAGCCACAGTGACATTGGGAGGGCCCGATTCGATGGGCCTTCTCAGGACACCAGTCAGCTGAGTCACTTCACCAATAATGAACAGAAACCATTTTTTTTTTTTTTTAATCCACGGAAGGAGAGAGCAGAGGGCAGGCCTGTTAGCTTAGCATCTCAGCAATGTGCCAGAGGTTCTATTTGTAAATGCTTTGCTTGCGAATGTGAGAAAGTGAGTTTGATAAAATGAAACTTTGAGTTTCATTACTGAGTAGCAGCCTCGCATCGCTCTCATTTAGACTTTGCGTGAAGGGCAGATGTGGTACCAGACACCGAAATGCTCAAGCTGTCCGTCGAGTGCACCCACGGGCATCCCGGGGTGCAGAGCACAGCCCGGTGCCTGGGTCAGAGACCGCAAATGGGCATCCCTGCCCTCAGAAGTTCAAGGGAGAGCAGGGGAGGCAGATGGCAAAGGACCGATGACAAGGGAGGCCTTGGGGCTGGGGTAGGGGTGCAGGCGTGTGGGTGGGAGGCCCAACAGGAGGCAGATGGATCCAGCAGGCAGAGAAGGGGATGGAAAGAGGAGGCGTGCACCTGGACGTGGGCAGTGTTTGCAGATTGACTGATTAAGTGTTCTGAAATAAATCTGATAAAATAATGTTCCTGATGTTCATAAAGCAGGAGACGTTCCCTGCTCTTTATATCTACGCCTTACGTGTGTAAGGCAGTGTTTTGTTGTAGATACTTTATACCTCTAGAACTTTTAAAATATTTATTTATTTTTGTGAGTGAGAGCGCATGAGTGGAGGGCAAGGGAGACGGAGAAGCAGTCTCCCCACTGAGCAGGGAGCCCAGTGCGGGCCTCGATCCCAGGACCCCAGGATCATGACCCGAGCCGAAGACAGGCACTTCACCGACTGAGCCCCCCCAGGCACCCCTTGTCCCCCCTTCTCATCTTTATACTTAGGGAAATGAAACCTGGTCTCATAACCTCCTGATGTACTTCAGGGTTTTCTAGCTTTTTGTCTCCAAAAGAGAGCCTTGGGTAGAGAGTCAGTGTTTGGGGTCAGAGGCATGGAAAGAGCAGTGGATGAGGGTGAGAAAGCCGGGCTCGGTGCTAGCTGCCTCACGGCCTGGGTGGAAGCTCGGGGCGGCACATAAGCCCTCTGACCCCGAGGCTCTTACCCACGGATTGGACATCGTGAGGAGTCACGTGGGTGGTGCTCTTGGACCATAGTGCCCAGTGCTGGTGTGCGGCTTCTCTAGAAGTAGACTTGCAGGTAGAGATGAGTGCACAGGGGATCTGCTGGGGCAGCATTGGCGGGGGGAGTCCAGACAGGGCGGAGGGAGGGTCGAGCTGGGACGCAGCTGCTGCGGGATGCCTGGAACTGGGCCATCCCGCAGAGCCACCCACGATGGATCAGGGACTAAGGGACCCTGCACTGGGCTGCTTCCGTTAGCCACGGGTGGCTCCCAGAGAGGGTTTCTGCCAGAAGAGTGTCTGGGCTTGAACTTGGGGTCTGGGTGGCACTCTGCAGCATGTACCACAAGGCGTGGATTACTAATCGTGAGTGTTAACTACTAGAGGTGAGTAGTTTAAAACATACCCAGGGTGCCTGGGTGGCTCGGCTGTTTGGGCAACTACCTTCAGCCTGGGTCATGATTCTGGAGTCCCGGGATCGTGTCCCACGTCGGGCTCCCTGCTTGGCAGGGAGTCTGCTTCTCCCTCTGACCCACCCCCTTCTCGTGCTCTCTCTCTCTCTCTTTCAAATAAATATATAAAATCTTTAAAAATAAAATAAAATAAAAATTAAAAAATAAAGCATCCCCATATAGGGGGCCCCAGCACATGTTCTAGGGGGACGAGCAGGTGCTAGATTTCTCAGGATGCATGGCCTGGGACACTGTGCCCTTTGCTGTCACCAGGAAGACTATAACCACATCCACGGGGGCAAGTGGACCGTGAGCAACCTGCGGCTGTACCTGGAGAGCACCCGCGGCAAGGAGGTGACTGGCAAGCTGTTCGACGAGATCCACTGGATCATCGTGCAGTCGCTAAAGGCCGTGGCGGTGGGTGCTGGGCCATGGCGGTGGGTGGCCAGCCGGGGGGCACTGGGCGGGGCCTGTGAGCAGAGAGCCGCCAGGTGCCGGCAGTGGGGGATGCTTGTTTTCTTGCCACAAAGATTTGTCTTTACGGGCTCGCCTCCCTTGTGTGCATGTGTCTGCTGGAGGCCGAGGCGGCTTCGGGCCCAGCTTCCAGTGAGGTGCTGCGTGGGGCACGCCAGGGGCCGGATGAGTCCTGCTGGGTTCCCGGCAGCTCCCCTGGGCCCGTGGATGCAGGAGGCGTACTTCGGCGTGAGCGGACGGTCAGGGGTGGCCTCGCGGTGGCCTCCCCGTGTTTAGGCCTCCGGCTCTGTGACGTCGTGGGCATCCGGACACCGCCTCTCTGTTTGTTGCCTCAAGTCTGTTGTTTGTTGGCTGGTTTGTGGTTTTTGTGTCTTGTTTTACTGTTCAAAGCAGACGGGCATGTTTTTGAGGGAAAGGGAAAGGAGTCGACCCCGGGCCACCGGCACTGGGCCGCTGTGTTCAGAGCTTCACGTGTGGCTCCCAGATGCTCGGCACCTGTGACTCATAGTGAAATGGAGGCTCAGCCCCGGAGCATGGACGTGCAGGGACAGGCATTGGGGCCCAGGCCTGCCGAGGGGGCCCCCAACAGACTGCCCCATGGCTGTGGGACCTGAGGGCACTCGGCCTGGCCCGGGGACTAGACAGCAGATCCTGTGCAGAGTGGATGCCCTCCTCAGAGCCTCGGAGGCCTTCTCTGTGGAACTGGGAGACAGCGGGGTGGGGGGTTGGAGAGTTAGCAACTTCCTGTCCTGCAGAGGCTGCTGGGACAGTGGTGTGGGTAGTGGCTGGGGGGTCGCACCCCAAGCTCTCCGGGGAGATGCAGTTCCACTGACTCCCCTGAAAAATCAGCCCCCGATTCTCCACTGCCCCCCGCCCCCCGCCTGGTTTTCCTCCAGAGGGTCAGGCTGGACTGGCCTGTCTCCCCTCAGGAGTTTGAGTTCTAAGTCCAGTGTTCAAAGTAGAGCCAACACACCCACTAAGGCTTAAAAAGGCCTTGCTGTCATGTCTGTGTGCTGCTGTCACTGTGGGGTGCACGAGGGTCCCCAGACGTAGCTGCTTGCTGGGCCTTCCCACAGGTTTTGATCCAGGCAGGCGGGGCTGGGCCTGGGAATCTGCACTGTGAGCGGCCAGCAAGGTTTCTGATGTACCCGGAGACCAGTTTATGAAGTAGAATTGAACATTAAAAAGAAAATCCAAAATTCAGCAGTAAATGCATTGACTCTTGTCACGGAGAGCAGAGGTTCATGACCGGGCACCCCGCATCCTTAAGGGCCCGAGAAGGGCCTGGCAGCCTGGTGGATAGCGTCCATGTGTTTGCGATGAGAGACTGCACAGGCCGAAAACTCTGTGTGCCGGCTGTGGAGCCGGACTTGTGTCCGCTCCGGGGACAGTCCTGCGCGGACAGAGACGCCGCTGCTCAGATCAGGCCTCAGATGAGTGAGGCCGGGAGACCCCCGTGATTGCTTCGGGATGTCGCCTGTCGTCGGTTGAGTGCAGTTTCCGAGTCTGAGCCGAGGAGGGGGAGGAACTGGCAGGGAGGGAGGGTAGCCCTGGGGGTGGAGGAAGGCGCGCCGCCTTGGCACTGAGACTCCTGCACCCAGCACCGCCAGGAGGTCATGAGGCCCCACCGCCTGTGGCCTCTCTGGTGGTGTTGTCAGCCAGGCCCCCTGGGGCCACCACGCAAGCCGCTCCCTCTCTTGCAGCCGGTGATGAACAACGACAAACACTGCTTCGAGTGCTACGGGTACGACATCATCATCGATGACAAGCTGAAGCCCTGGTTGATTGAGGTAACCTTGCGGCTGCAGCCCCAGCGGCTGCCTCTGCCCGTCTCACCCTGGAGCCTCTGGGCACCCCGGGCCAATGCAGCTGAGGAGGTGGAACGGGACGGTGCGCAGGCGCCACAAGCTTGCAGGTGGACAGGGAGCCACTCCCCATCTCTTGGCACTGAGCCCGGATCACTCAGCCGAGCTCAGCGCCGTGGTGCTCCCGGGTGCTTCCGGACACGTCGTGCCCTGGAGGCCCTGTCCTGTCCTCATGAGGACATTGTTGCTATTCAGGAAAGGAGCTCCCAGACCCGGAAGCCTGTGGGAGGCGGTAGCCTACCGGCCAGAGATAAGGGATGTTATCTTCCTGTCGCTGAGGCATACTTTGGGAGTGGATCCCTCGTCCTCTTTCACGGCGTGCACGACTGTGGCTGTGGCTGGCCTCGGGGCACGCATCGTTTCCCTGGCGACAGGCCTGGGCGATGCTTGCCTCAGCCGCCTTGGGCGCTGGCGGACGCACCTGAGGCCCAGAGCCTGCCTTGCTGGGGTTGCCCTGCTTTGCTCTGTGGCCAGAGAGAGGGGCTTGGGGCTCAGGGGACACACGCTATGAGAACGAGGGCCGTCTGTTCCGTTGGTTCGTCTCCTTGTGTGTGCCTCTGAGCACCGGCCAAGCTAGATGGCTCACGTCCTTTAGCTCAGTCCAGGAAAGTTGAGTCTCAAAAGGAGGTCATAGTGAGTGGTCCCTTGTAGGGAAGTGCAGTGGGAGCCCTTACAGGAAGCTGCTGGGAGAGCCGCCTTATCAGAGAGCAAACTGTTCCGGAACAGTATTTTCCAGGTTACTTGTTATCTGCCAAAACTGTTGGGCAGGGTGGGGAGGGGTTGGGCTTGCATGGAGATATACGTAGAGATAGAGAGGGATTTGCAGGTGCACATACGAAATGTTTCTGTGTTCTCTTTTTCCATTTTCAAAGTCCACTGTGCAACCCATTGTGCTATGGAGCATTTTTTTTTCCATTAAAAAAAAAGTAACTTGAACGGAAGTCAAGCTTTCCTTGACGAGCTAGATCGTAATTGTGAATAACACTGTAACGTAATAACAGACCTTAATTTAGCATACTTATGATAATCTTGGCGTTCTGGTATGGGAGCATAGTAATTCCAAGGGCGCCTGAGGTTTGTACAGTCCCTTTCACTGTTGTCTGTTCGCCACTCTGCTGGCGGCTCAGAGACAGAGTCTGGGTGTTCGGGAGAAACCTGACCACTTGCAGACTTGCTGCTCCGCTCTCCTGCGGCCTGAGGGAACAGCTAACCAAGAGCGTTACAGCCGTGCCTAAAGTAAGAGTAAGTAGGTCGTAACTGAGGTCCTGTGGGTCTCTCCACACAGTAAGTGCATTTTAACCTGTGGCCGTTTGACATTGCTTAGCAGCTCAGGGACCTTATGGGACTAACTTTCTGTCTTTCAGATGGGTTCCTAATTTGGCAGAATATTGCTTTGTTGGTGACTTAATTATTCCCTTCGCCAAAAAGGGGCCCCCTGGGACACCTGGATGGCTCAGTCGGTGGGTAGAGAATCCGACTCTTGATCTCGGGGTCTTGAGTTCGAGCCCCATGTTGAGTACAGAGATTACTCAAAGGGGGGGCATTACTTTTTACTCCAACCCCACGATGCTGCTTGGTCAGGGTGATCTGGTTCACTGATTTCCAGCAAAGCTAGGGGTTGGGGGGGGCTTTCAATACTTGAGACAGAGCTCATCACACAGGTAGACACGGAAGTTGTATTTGTGATCTACAGTCACTTGACATTTTTTTTAAAAAGATTTTGTTTATTTGACAGAGAGAGAGATGGCGAAAGAGAGAGCACAAGTGCAGGAGAGCTAGAGAGGGAGAAGCAGGCTCCTCACTGAGCAGGGAGCCCGATGTGGGGCTTGATCCCAGGACAATGGATCATGACCTGAGCCGAAGGCAGACGCTTAACAACTGAGCCACCCAGGCACCCCATCATTTTCTCTAAAGATTTTAGAATCCAGTTTCTCCCAAACAGCCAGACTCTGTCTCTGTGCTGCTAGCAGAGTAGCTAACGTACAACAGTGCAAGGGATCACGATCTGAGCCAAAGGTAGACGCTTAACCAACTGAGCCCCCCTGGGCACACCTTCACTTAACATTTTTATTTGTGTGATAAGTGATTTGCAAGTCATAATCCTGGCCTGTTTTCAATATTATTTATATTTCATCCAATAGCTAATGAAAGCAGATCCAAAAATGCTTCCTATACGAAATACTGGAGGATATTAGATACGAACAGTATGACATGACAGTTTGACCCAAAGTGTGTGGTAGCTGGCGTTTTCCTCAGCAGCGCATGTGTTCACGCCGCAGGAGTCGCCGTCCCAGTGAAGAACGCGGTTCCTTTCCTCTCCCAGGTGAACGCGTCCCCGTCTCTCACCTCCAGCACCGCCAATGACCGAATCCTGAAGTATAACCTGATCAACGACACTCTCAATATTGCGGTCCCGAACGGCGAGATTCCAGACTGTAAATGGAACAAGTCACCCCCGAAGGAAGTCCTCGGCAATTACGAAATCCTGTAAGTCTGTGTGCAGACTGGGCGGCTGTCCTTGTGCATTTTGGGTTGAGGGGCGCCACGGCCCAACATGGATTTTCTATACATGTGTGGACTTGCCTTGGGCCAAGTATTTCATTTATTATTCGTGTTACAGGATAGGTCGTGTTGTAGCAGAAAAACGTGTCTTAAACTAGGGCTTTGTCTCGGTCTTTTGCCTGATCAATAGTGATGAAATGTTTGCCACCTGCTGGGCACCACGTGAGCCGCTGGGGCAGGTGGGAGCAGGTGGGAACAGGTGGGAGCAGGAGAGCTCTATGGCTTACCTTCTCCGGGCCACCGTGGAGCAGAGAGCCCTGGCGCACACCTGGGCTCCAGCACCTGGAGCTGTGGGACCCTGATGAACTCTCTGCAGCTCTTCGAGCCTCAGTGTGTCCCGCTTGAGTGGGGCTCCTGCAAGTGATCTCACAGAGTTGGGAAGGCGAGAATGTTCACGATGATTGCTGACAGCTGAGGGCTGCCCACATGCCCCAAATTGTGCAGAGCTTCATTTCCCCAGAGACCTCCTGAGGTCAGTGTGGTCATGAGCGCCCTCTCACGCATGCGGAAACAAGGTTTGGAGAGGTACAGTGGCCTATTGGTGGTGACCGCGAGTGGGAGCAGCGTGAGAGCCTGTCAAGGGGACAGTGGTTGAGTGATGTACCATTGGTTCGTACTGTGGGATAGTGAGTGACCGCTGAGAACATGGCCCAGGAGCTCTGGTGGGGCCTGGGGGGCTGCGGGAGGAAAGCTCGTTGTAGAGAATGGTGCGCGAGGGACACGTGTTCGCTTGTCTGTGTGAGCTGCAAGGTCTGGAAGGGGAGCTGGAGAAAAGAAGAAACAGTGCCCCAAATGGAAGGGGCAAATGTGTTAGGGTCACGTTAGTCTTTCTGTAAAAGTAAAAATGCACATTTAACGTTTCAAGAAAACAAAGGAAGAAATTTGTAGTGAACCTCGTGTGCCGCACGCCGATCCTGGGCGGGCGTTATGGGTGTGGGGACTTGGACTCCAGAGCCCACGGCTGACGGCGCTGTCTCCACCGTGCGTGCCCTTGACATATGCGCACAGCATCGGGGAGGGTGGAGGGTCAGCTCAGAAGGGCAGTGTGGGGCCTCCGGGGCAGTGGTGGGGAGCTGCGAGTGTGACCACTCAGCATGGGGTGTGGTTTTCTCCAGCCACGGGCAGTGGTTAAGTGGGTAAGTGCAGGGTGAGCCGAGGGCGGGAGTGGCCAGCACTGGGGGCTTGTCGGGCAGGGAGGAAGGTGAGAGGGGAGGACAGTGGGGGGCAGTGGGAGGGGATTGGAGGTCCTGGTGCTTGCGGGCTGCTGGGCTTGGGGCACAGGGATGCGAGCAGGGGAAGAAGAGGCAGAGGTCAGAGGGCGGGTCTGCAATCTGGGCTTTGCGGGATTGCGGTTACTGGACACAACAAGGTCGGGAGCCGTGGGAACGGGCCTGAGCTGAGGCGGAGGACGAGGTCATGGAGGGGTGCCATGGGTCAGGGAATTGGGGTCCCTTGTCTGGTCACTTGCCCTGACCAAGAACTGTGAGCCAGGGGCCTGAATCATAAGGAATTAGGTTACAGGTAACTGCACAAGGCGCGTGGTGGATCCTGCTGACCTGGGAGGGGGGCTTTGTGGGGGGGCTCCCTCCAGACCCAGGGGCATGACGGGTACGAGGGAAAGCACCCCCGCTGGAGGGGCGGCAGAGAAGCCGTGTCTTCAGGGAGAGCCGGGGTTTAGCGCAGGAAGGTGCAGAGGACCTTCCAGGATGAGGTGGGGAATCGGGGGTTTGCAGGTGACCGGAGAGTTCTGAAGGGATCAGTTTTCCTTCAGCCAGCGTGGCGGCAGGCCGGGCTCTCGGGAGCCCCGGGGCTGTTGGGGGAGGGCGGCAGACACCCCACTTCCGGTTAAAGACAGAGTCCGAGCCTCGTTGCTGTTAGCTGACAAAGCAAAAAGGTGACCCCCCCCAACCCACTCGGCATCCCCCCACCCCTGTGAGTAAGGAGGGCACCCGCGCAGAGCTGATCGATCCAGGCGCTTCCACGCAGGCCTGCTCCCCAGTGCTCAGAGGACCTCACGGTCAGGAAGCCCGTTGCTGACTCCCAGCCACGGCCTCCTGCAGCGGTAGCCGGCTGCGTGGGCACAGAGGGCCCTGACTTTCTACCGCGTTGGTGCTCTGCCTCCCATGGGGGGCTCGCAGCGGTCTCCAGAGTGTGCCAGAAACAAGAGGAGGAAGCCCGGCGCCAGTTAGCCGCCCGAGGTCATGCTGCCGGTGCTGGCCCCCAGAAGTAGGTGCTCTTGTTGCCCTGATCGCCATCCTGGCCTTCAAGCCATGTGGCCTGACTTTCTGTGTCTGCAGCCTCCAGGGCCCAGGGCTGAAGCTGCTGGGTATACGCTTGTACAGCCTTTAAAGCCCTACTGTCCAGGCGCGCCTGGGTGGCTCAGTCCGTTAAGCATCTGCCTTCTGCTCAGGTCACGATCTCAGGGTCGTGAGATGCAGGGTCCAGCCCCACATTGGGATCCCTGCTCAGCCCAGAGTCTGCTTGAGATTCTCTCTCTCCCGCTGGCCCTCCCCCCACTCACTCTCTCCCTCTCTAAATAAGGTAATTGATCTTTTTCTTTTTTAAGATTTTATTTATTTTACAGAGAGAGAGGGAGAGGGAGAGAGAGGAAGTGGGCACATGAGCAGGGGCAGAGGGAGAGGGAGAAGCAGGCTCCCCACTGAGACAGGAGCCTGATGTGGGACTTGATCCCAAGGCCCTGAGATTGTGACCTGAGCTGAAGGCAGCCGCTTAACCAACTGAGCCACCAGGCATCCCTGATCTTTTTTTTTTAAGCTTTTATTTATTGATTTGTTAGAGAGAGAGAACATGCATGTAAGCAGGGGAAACAGCAGGCAGAGGGAGAAGCAGGCTCCCCGCTGAGCAAGGAGCCTGATGTGGGTGGGGCTCAACCCCAGGACCCTGGGATCATGACCTGAGCTGAAGGCAGATGCCAACTGAACCACCCAGGCGTCCCAATAAATAAATCTTTAAAAAATAAAAAAATAAAAAATAAAACACTACTGTCTGGACCGTGCCAGTGACTGCAACCCCCTTGTCATTCTGCTCGAATGAGAAGGGGCCCTAGGAGACCATCCCAGCAGCACCCCTGGGAACAGCCCATCCCAGAGCCCCGCTGCTTGCCACAGGCACAGCAAGGCTGGTGAGCCCTGTGTGGTCCTTTCCCCCACTCCCCCCCCCCAGTCATCAGTGCATTCTTCCTGCACACCCACCCAGCAGTGAGGTGCTGGGGGGAACTGTGAGCCAGACAGACGGGGTTCACTGCAGTCCTCAGGTCAGCGATGGAGACACAGAACCAGCAACAGAGTGCTAATGGGGAGTGCTAACCTGTGAGTGGGGAGTCAGGGGCTCTAGCAGTCCTTGGGGTGGGGAGGGACCCCCACAGGCAGAACCTCCCTGGGGAGTCCTCCCTGCAGCATCATCTCTCCTTAAGGAGATAGGGGAGAGGAGGGCCCTCCGTTGTTGCCCTGATTCCCATTCTGGAAGAGGGAAACCCCACAGTGTCTGCTGTGTGGGTAACAGTCAACAAACTGGCCTTCTTCCTCCTCGCCTTTCCCTTGCGTCCCCCCATTTGCCAGCAGAAGCACAAGGCAGCAAATATGTTCTTCAGCTTCAGAAGCTTCTCCCCCACACTACTCTCAGCTTGCGGATTCCGATTCTGGGAATAAATGTAGAACAGAAATAGCTCCTTTTCGAGAAGTCAGCAAAATTCAGCTAACGCAACCTAATTGAGCAGCATCGTACCTTTCGCATTGGACACGAACATCTACTTACGACAGAGGCTCCTCAGTCAGGGCGTGGCCGCCAAAGGACGCCTAGGAAGGAGGTTTACTAGGGAACAGAAATGTTTTTCGTGCTCTTGATCCACAGGGTTAAAAGGCCCCAATTAAGAATCTGAAGTCTTGGGATTTATTTGATCCCACAGACCTTCGGACACTGAGTAAACCTCTCCCCAGGGTCAGATGGAAAGTGGGGATCCGTCAGGAGGGTGATGGGAAGTCACCGGGGGATTAGGAGACCCCATCACCAGAGCCTGCACCTGCCAGGCCCCACAGGGGGTGCAGTGACATTTCTCCAGCCTCGCGGACCCCTTAGGAGGGGCTCACTGTGGCGAGAGAAGCCAGGGACTACCCAGACGTCCGAATCAGGCAGGGGCATCCGCGATTCTAGCTCCGTCCTTTCTGAGGCAGAAGCCCAGGCTCTGTGGCCTACACAGGCCATGCTTTCACACTGCACAGGTCTGGCGCGTGAATGCTAGTGGGCCAGTGCAGGGGAGGCCTCAGCGGGTGGGTGCTCGATCTGGCCTTTCTTGCAGAGGTGACCTGCTCACCCTGTACTGGTCCCCTCCCCCTGGGTGGGTCATTCGCACCTTGTTCCCCGTCTGAAGTGGGTCCGTCATACCTGCCCCCAGATGCTGTGTGTAAGAGTATTTCCCAGACATCTGTCCTCTCCCTCACCTCCCTGGTGTCTCATGTTTCCTTGGGGGTCACTGCCGACTAACACCTGGTAGGAAGCCTTTAGAAAACGCCGACGGCAGGAGCGGGAACAGTTCGCAGAGTAATTTAGCAAGTCTGTACCCGCCTGCTCTGTAGTCTCAGGCAGTCTGGTGGGCTGGCAGGCAGGAGGCATGTGGGGGGCTTGGGGGGCGGGCAGGCTGCTTCCCTGGGCGACGTGGGATTTACGGGATCGGCCGTGCTCGGCGCTGCTGCCGCTTCTGCCAAACCCTGAAGGTGACCCTCTGTTTCCAGCTATGACGAAGAGCTGGCACAGGGCGATGGCGCTGACCGAGAGCTGAGAAGTCGTCAGGGCCAGTCGCTGGGGCCCAAGGGGGGCCGGTCGCGAGACTCGGGCAGAACCGTCCTCACCACCTGGAAGTGAGCACCAGTCGCCGAGAAAGACGGCGAGCCAGACCCTACCTGATACTCAGTGCACCTGGGCCCGTTCCGAAATTTTCCTTTTTCTAGAGCTTTTTCCCCCTTTCCTAAGCGCTGTAAATAAAGGCACTTCTTTGGAAGGTTAAGGAGTCTCTTATGAGGAAAAGATGCCCCGCTTCTCCTCCCCTCTCACACAGTACCTCTGAGACCAGACGTGTGGGGGTTTTCCCCATACCCAGCCCTTCTGTGCTCCTCTGGCTGGTGCTGGGTGTCCACAATTTCTCTCCATTTTGATACCATCTGCCTGGAGATGGCGTCTGGTCCCACCGGGGAAGGGCCCAGTCCCGCAGAGCTGTCCCCCATGCCCCTGCATCCCCATAACCTCAGAAGCCAATCCTGGTTGTCTCCTGTACTCCTGACCTCCCTGCTCTAAGTGGGAGGTTCCCACCACCTTTCTCAAGCCCCCCCGAGGGCTTCATTCCTTGGCCAGAGTGGCTCACGGGACTCAGGAAAACCGTTCACCTGCTCGATTACCCATTTCTCATGAACGATGCAACTCGGATCAGCCCGATGGAAGAGATGCAGGAGGCAAGGTATGGGGGAAGGGGTAGGGAGCTTCCGCTCCCTCCCTGGGTACACCGCCCACCCAGCGCCTCCCCGGGGTGATCAGCCTGGAAGCTCTCTGAAGTCCGTATTCGAGATTTGTGAAGGTTTCATTATATGGCATCTGTTGGTTAAATCATTGGCCATCGATGATTGATTCAACCTTTAGCCCCACCTCCTCCCCAGGAGCTGGGGGGCAGCGGCTGGAAGTGCCCACCCTCTGATCCCCGCGTGGTCCCCTGGCAGCCAGTCAGGCTACCTGGGAGCCCCCAGCCACCGGGTCAGCCATCAGCACAAACTGGCTCGGTTGAAAGGGGCTCGTTAGGAATAACAGAAGACTCCTGTTTCTCTTTTACTACCTGGGGCTATTTCAGGAACGGGGGACCAAACTAAGTATTCTAACAAAAAGCGGTCCCTGTCGCTCTTGGAAAGGAAAGGACAGGGGTTTTAGGAACTGTGTGACAGGAACAGGGACAAAGACCAAATCTCTATTTCTTTCTTTTTTTTTTTTAATTAAAAGATTTTATTTATTCATTTGACAGAGACACACAAGAGAGGGGAACACAAGCAGGGGGAGTGGGAGAGGGAGAAGCAGGCTTCCCAAGGAGCAGGGATCCCAGCTCGATCCCAGGACCCTGGGTTCACAACCTAAGCTGAAGGCAGATACTTAACCGACTGAGCCCCCCAGACGTCCCTATATTTCTTATTATAAATCACAACACCCCATTTCCATTTCATCAGGGCTGGAAGAACCGATTCACAAGTGCCTGAAACCAGCTCTTTCCAGAGACTAACAGCCTCAGCGTCCAACTGAGTTTATTACAAAGTATTCACGTTTTAAAAATACTGCGCTGAAAAAAAAATACTGCGCTGACTAAAGAACGAAAGCTGACTGTCTCACAGAGTCATGGTGCTGTGAGAAAGCAAGATATTTAGCCCGATAGCTGTTTCGGTGTCACTCCCTCTAACTGTGACTCGGAGGAAGACTGGCAACTGGGACTGTGTGTCAGTAATCTGTCCTCACAGAGGCCGTTGTCTCGCTGCTGTCGGAAGAGATCAGTTTCTGTCACTTCGATTTTGGAGGTGAGTCTGTCAGATGGGCCCAGACGGTCCCCACCATGTGGCCCAGCGGACGTCAGCATCCAGGGATGCCGCAGACCAGAGGTAAGCGTCGTTGGCAGGTGGCGGCCGGGCCCAGCTCCAGGGGTGCAGTGCTGACGTGAAGCCGCCCTGGACACCGAGTGAGGTGGAGGAGAATCCGGGAAGCCCTGAGTCAGTAGGGCAGAGTGACTGATGCATGCCAGTAACCCCTGAGAGGCGGGCTCCTTCTAGAAAGAGCCTTTTTCTGACGGTCATGCTTGACACTGTTCACTGCTGCTTCGGTCACTGTCTTGAATTTATCTTTAAAACTCCCCACCTGAGGGGTGCCTGGGTGGCTCAGTCAGTTAAGCGTCTGCTTTCGGCTCAGGTCATGAACCTGGGGTCCTGGGATCGAGCCCCGCATCAGGCTCCCTGCTCGGCGTGCTCTCTCTCCCTCCCTGTCTCTCTCTCTGTCAAATAGATAAAATCTTTTTTTTAAAAAAGGCAAAACAAAAAAACTCCCCACCTGAAAAAAAAACAAAAACCAAAAAAACTCCCCACCTGTCTTGTTGTGATGCTAGTACTAGGGTTTGGTCTCCTGGTGGGGTACTGAGGACATGGCACGCTGACAGAAGTCTTCCTTGTACCCGTGTGTGAACATATGTCTGGTTTATACGTCCTGTCACGTGTGTCTGTGTGCTCATATGTGTTGAACGCCGTTTCACGGCCAATTGGGGAAAAGGGCCCTTTAGGTGGTAGGACAGAGAGAGAGAGGTGTGACGCAAGTGGCACTCAGCCGGCATTCACATGAATTGCAGTTTGAGGGGACTTGTCTGTGGTGTCCCTGCAAGCCTGAGATTGTGCCACCTCCATGGCCTGATCTGAGGTCTAACGTTCTTGGCGGGTGTAGCTTTGACCTTGAGTCAGACCTGGGCTCCAAGCCTGGCTCTGCCATTTATGAGCTTGTCCCGAGGCTGGCCAGGGGATCTTTGGACCTTGGCTGGTTGGTGTATAGAAGGAGATTAATTATATCCGTTTCAGAAGTCACCAGTGTCACAGCCCCGGGTCCGGCCCGCCCCACTGGCGCTGCGGCTCCGACACGTCTCCTGACCCAGGAGGGGCGCAGTCCGTGGGGCAGAGGGCCTCCACCCCTGGCTCCGGCCCATGGCTGTTCCAGCCACGACGTCCTCCAACCCAGCTTCTCAGTCGTGTTGTTTTCGATTTGTTCTCGGGGTCTCTGGGAGCCGGGTGGAGTCCCCGGCTGGGAACGTTGACCTCGATCTGAGCACAAAGGGCAACGCTGTCACCTCAGGAGTGAAGTTGTTAGTTTGCTGACGTGCAGGTTGCTAGGTGAAGGCGGGGTCTGCTAGAGAGATTCTGTCCAACACTGACTGTCACATCGGTGATGTCATGTTCTGGGGCAGATGTTTCCTCTGAACACTTCCAGAACGCACAGGGGCGGGAAGCAGGCAATGTCCGAAGCAGGCCACGGAAATTCGTGGATTGTAAACGCTATTCATCACGGAGTGGTCCCCCCTTTGGAATTGTCCAGGATGACACTTTCTGCTTTCTTATCAGCTCCCGTTATTTTTTTTCCCTTTCGATGGGGGCTGGAAGGGCGGGTTCCAAACTCTGAGGGTCATTTTCACGAGGATTCTTTTTTTGTTTGACTTTATTTTTTCCAGAGCACATTCGTCATTTGCCTGCTTCCCCAACGGGCTGCTCCCCAGTATTCCCTGGTGGGTGCGCAAGCTGGGAACACCACAGTATCTTCCTAAATGTCTCCCCTCCCCACCCCACGGTCCCTAAGCCTGCTGACAGCCTCCTCACTCAGCCTCCTCCTTCCCCGGCCCCCCCCGCCGGACCCCTGCCGAGCCCCCCACCAGTCTCAGTCTGCAGCCCCACCCCCACCCCGTCCCCAGTCAGGCTTCAACCTCAGGCCAGCAGGATAGATATAGATATATAGATATATAGATATAGGTATCTATATATCTATATATATACTTTTTTTACTAGCGTCCATTTCTCCCAGTGTGCGGTGGTCCTTCGATGCACTCCCCAAAAGGCAAAGTCTCTTGTCCTTGGGAGGATTCAGGAGGCCGTCCACACATGCTTTGTCCACCAGCCCCAAACTCACCTGACTTCTCTCCCTGGACCATCTGTCTTCCTCCAAGGACCATTTCCAGCTCCGATGCCTCCCCCAGCCAGCTGGGGGCGGTGTTTCCTCCCAGCCCCAGGCCCTTGGTCTCCCCAGCATCAGGCTCTCAGGGAGGGTTGGCTGCAGGGACCCTGGCCAGCCTGCCTTGAGGCCCAGCACCTGGTTCTGCTCAGTGACCAGGCACCCACAAGGTGGCCACTGTGTCATTTAACAGGTGCTGTGCCCAAGCAGGCCACCCTCCGGGCATTTCAGGATCCTTTGTGAGGCAACAGGAGCATCATTCAAATTTCGCTTCCTGTTTCTCATTTGGGAAGACGATGTATTCTTATGTTCCCTGATCTGTCCCAGCCTGTGAACCATATTGTATCTCCTAAACTTTGAAGTTAAAAATAGCATTTCCATACTTTTGTGCCTGGGAGCATTCAGAGCAGTCCATCTCCCGCTCACTGCCCCCATGGCTGGTGCTTCTTGAGCAGAAACAACCTAGGGGACCGCGGGGTCCCCTGTAGGGAGCCACAGGTTTCCCCTGCCTCCCACTTGTCCACATTTTTTTTTTCCATTTTCAAGTTCAGCTCCCTTGATTTTTCTCATGTAAACACGCTGTCTGGTAACTCCAGTCGGAGCCCTCATCCTCTTTCTGGATCTTCGGAGACTGCAAAGTCCTGAGCAAAGCCTGCTTCCGGGGTTCAGGGGTGAAGAAGCTGTAGCTTGAATGGGGCTTCAAAGGTGGCCGGGCAGATGGCTCGGGTGGCCGTGTGCCCTCGCGGATGTGTAGTGGGCCTCACTGACCACCAATGGCAGCAACCTCTTGGGCGGGGGGGATCCAGGTGTGCCCCACAAAATGTGGTGACAGGGGCCAGTGGGGCCCTCGTGGCCATCTTCACTGGGATCCTGGAGGCTTGGCCAGGATGGTGGCCCAGGGGATGGCAGCGGCAGCTTCCTTGGATCACCTTACACCCGCCACGTAGCCCCCAGAGCCACACAGGGCTTTGGACCTGGTCCCTGGGCCTACTTCTGCGGGGACGTCCTCTTCAGAGCCTCAACCTCAAGGGACACCAATGACGAGGCTTCTTGGCGGTGTAGTGGGTTGGATGGCGCCCCTCCAAATTTCATGCCAACCCAGGACCTTGGAATGTGACCTTATTTGGAGATAGGTCTTTGTAGGCGAATGAGTTAAGGATCTCAAGATGAAATCCTCTCGGGTTTAGGGTGGGCCCTAAGTCTAATGACTGGTGTCCTTATCAGAAGAGAGGATGCAGTCACACAGAGAAGGCCACGTGAGGACAGAGGCGGAGACGGGGCTGAGGCCGCCCCTCACTGTGGAGCGCCAGCCAGC